ATCATTCATGGTCATTAAACTTTTGCAGGTTGTGGTCTATAGCTTGAAACTCTTTAAGGACTATTTGATTTGATGCTAACTAATCTTGTTGAGGCTTGAGAAGGTGATGCTATTGTGCTGCTGGCATATATATCTGGTGCTGAAGCTATTTGTTCTAATACTAGCTTGTATATATTTGGCTTTGGCTTTGGCTTGAACTTATAAAATGGAGGGCCATATAGACCAAGCCTGCTCGCAATGATAGGATGATGGTGTTTGTACGTGGCCAGATTGACTCTGAACACATCTTTTAGGATTGGATTTAGAGGTAGCAGAGCAAAATTGGGGTGAAATTTGGACAGTGTACCTTAGGTTTTTTGCTTATATCTCTTATTTGTAGGGTACTTATTACTCCGTATGTTTTAACTTTGTATTATGCTTTGGGCATTACACAGCATGCTCTATTTATTTTTTATTTCTCTAATAAATATATACGAGTATAAATACCGCTAGCAATAACAAAAGTTTGTGCAAAAGTACTTTTAGATTAGACAATCTGTCCATGTACTTTTTATTTTCTTTCAATAAAAGTGTTTATTTTTTGAAATGATAATTGTTTTAAACCGAGGTTATTTGATTGTTGTCTAAAGTTTTGCCCAAAATTACGAAAGTAATGTTAGATAGTGTACACATACTCATTGTAGTGAAGGTTATCGTTTCTTTGAACTTTAAAAAAGTTTGAGACCTAATAGCTATGCTACTGTTTAAAAAGAGTATTCTTAACTTATTATAAACAACTCTAGCAAAACAATTATATGACAAGACAATTAGTAATAGATTACTATTTCTCATATTTTTAAAAATAGTTCTACGCTTACTATCCACACTACTCTTTAAAAAAGTTTTCTTAACTTATTCTAGACAACTCTGAAAAAAACCCGTGTGACACAGACTACTAGTAATACATTACCGTTTCTCATGACTTTAAAAATAGTTCTAGGCTTTATAGTGTGACTATTGTTTAAAATTAGTATTCTTAATTTATTATAGACATTTGTGGCAACAAAAACTGTATTTTGATATTACATAGACAACTACTAATAGATTACCATTTCTATGAACTTTAAAAACAGATGTTGGCTAAGTACCTAGACTATTGTTAAAAAGGAGTATTGTATTCTAATTATAAACAACAGTGCCAAAAATACTTTATGACATAGACAACTAGCAATAGATTATTGTTTCTCATAACTTTAAAAATAGTTGTAGACTGAATAACTAGACTACTGTTTAAAAAGAGTATTCTTAACTTATTATTGACAACTGTGATAACAAAAACTATATTTTGATATGACACAGACAACTAATAATAGAATACCGTTTCTCGAAACTTTAAAAATAGTTTTAAGCATAATAGCTAGACTACTACTTTTGTAGCTAACAACAACAAACAGTAGTCTGATTTTTTTTTAACTACTGTTTTTTCATAAACAGTAGTTAATCAACAGTCGTCTGACACTGTTTTTGGCATAGTGCGTTGATACTGGAGTACCTAATATCTTTTAAAATTACTGTGGGGTGCCTGCTCCGTCAGAGATAAAAGTGCTTCCACCTCAACCCGCGCACAACAAGGGCAGTGGTAAGCGCATTAAGAGTGCTAAAGAGATCCAAATCGAGCAAAGCAAGAAGAACAAACGCATGTGTCGAACTTGCAAAGAGCTAGGATATCACGACAGTAGGAATTGTCCGATGAATTATACGTCATAATTAAATCATCTTCCTACACACATCTTATAAGTATTTGTAATGTTTTCAACGTTCTTTATTACGTCGCATGCCATTTGTTTGCCCATGATTTGTGTATTATTGCAATTTTGATTAATATAGTAATTACAAAATCATCAATGCACACACTTTATGTATTCCCACTACATCTAAATCTACAGATTTGATCCTATACTGCCCCACACACTTCTTATTCTATGAAACATACATTGATGGCTCTAAACATGTGTGGACCCCCATTAAACAAACTATACATTGCACTAAATCCATTTCCATCACGCACCAATAACAAAACACCTGTAACAATTCATGCACCAAATGAGTCCCAACAGATCGACTACTTGGAACGCCTCTTACTTATTCACCCAACTTGTTATACGTTTCACAGAAATCACCACTGCCAAAAACAGTACCTGTCACCAAACAGCTACTGGGTTGCACTAAAACAAATTCAGGACGCACCAATAAAACAAAATGCTGCAACAAATTCTGCACTAAACACTTTCCAATCGAAAAACATTCACTAGTTAAAATCAAAATCCCCTCCAACATTATGCAATTGAGGTCCAGTTAAGTCAATACTCAAATTCTTCATAAATACCAAAAAAATATGTCTATCTATGTTCATACTGAGCAATAATGCAACCCCATCTAGCAAAACGAACAAGCCAGCAACGACTCACTCAAGGGTTGCTCCATGAAACCAAAACTCAAAAGGATACGAAATTGACAATTCTAGAAAAAAACAGAATAGATCATAATCCCCATGAAAAAGTCAGGCATCAGAAACATGATTTTGTAATCAAGTCATGTAGTCTTCAACCACTCGAGTGCTTCACCAGCTGCCTTATCTTGTCCTTAACCTTGTTGATATCTGATTCGACTATCGCAGCACAATACTTTGTACGAAGTGCATTCACCGCCCTCTCATCCCCCTTTTTCAAGCCACATTCCCACTGCTTCAATGCCTACCCTGTGTACGTCTCCATGTGCCGCATTGTAATCACACCATAATCGAATACAGCAGTCGAATCTCTCCACGCCAGTTGCAATCATTTCGGTTCTTGCGTCTTCAGTTTCTCGACCCGGCCATCTAGTCCTTTACTCTTGAAATATTTTACGACCATGTCTCGCTGCAATCAAAGGTATGCTAAAACATTATAACATGAATTACGTTTTTCTCATCAGATTTTAGAATTGGCTTCATTACATTATAACAGATCAATATCCCACTTAATAATTTGGGTGACGTGCTATCAATTTCTACTTACAACAACGCTTGGCATATAGTCATATTTATCAATCTTTGCAACGCCGGCTGATGAGTTGTCGAGAATATCAACCCTATTCCCCTTCAGGTTCACACATATGCAATAACACCAACGATGTTGCATTACTGGAAAGAATATCTACACGTTTAAGAACATATTATGCATTTGAACAGTATATGCATATACTGTAAATAAACACACCACCATCGCAAGCATTAGACCAAACACAGACATGAATAATCTCACCATATCAACATCGCATGGATTAGTCAAGCTCCATCCATATTCCAATGCATCACAAACGACCTTAAAAGCATCAGCATTCTCTTCCATCTCCCCCTCGCTCGTGAACATCTGCAATTGTATTAATAGTATAATAACACACCTCCAGGCAGCTATAGAAATTAAAATAAACTGCACATTTAAGTGTATTATTAGAAAGTAACATACACATCTAATTGTTTTCGCAAAAACTGGGCTGGAGATGCAACACTACGAAACAGCTCCTTGTGATTCAATATGCAAGACCAAGCATCCACTACCCGTGGAGAAATGTGATGGCCAGTCCCCAACGTCTGAAGGTCTCCACGTTCAACCGATATATTATACCCATTGAACACAATGTTATTCCTGCATAAGTTTACAGTACCAAGTTCAAGAATGTTTCTTTAAATTTCCTAATATGATGCACTGTTTAACCATAGTTAAAGCAAAAACCTGTCAGCATCTTGCTTGCTTACAACCCACTTCCAAAATTTCTTCTCAAATGTGTTCACATTATCTCTTGGATCAATCACCTGTGTCAGGTAAGGTGACTTCAACGTCAAAGCTTTCTTGGTCTTTCTTCTTGCTCTTTCATCTCTTGCATATTGCACAACCTATTCAAAACAAAATAAACGACTGGCCGAACATATTTATGTCATATATTCAATAACCAATTAACATACCTCATCAAATTTCCTTTTCAGCCCAGCACCTCCTTCAAATATTCTCTCTTCAACCATCACCTCCATCTAGAATGAAACCCAGACAACAAGTTCATCAAAATAGGTGCAATCATATAACGTATATACGCAATGTGTACAAAAACTTTATGATACCTCATTGTTCAAATCTTGATTGTTCTGCACTGCATCACATTCTGCACCAATCATCCCTTCATTCTGCTCTATATCTTTGTTCTGCTCAGGTTCCATGTTCTGGGTGTCTAGAGGACCAGCCATGTTCGGGGTGTTGTGAGGATCAGCATTAGTGATGTTCGCTGGCGTCATCTCTTCGTTCACCTCATTGCTCTTCTGCATCTCACGCGTGCTCTCCATCTCAGTTTCACCCCTACCTTCTTCTTCTAGAATCTGTGTCATCCCTAGACTGAAAGAAGGCACATCATTAATAAATTCTTCATACTTCTTCCGCACTTCTGCTGCCTTTTCCGCTTGTTCAACCGCTGCCCAAAGCTCTGGACTGCTCCAGAATTCTGAATCCCCGAACATGTCTGTTTCATTGTTCCCAACATCTTGTTCAAAATTTTCTTTCTTTTCAACATTTATGTCAATTACTCTATGGCACACATTACGCATCTTACAAAACATCAAATTCTTTCCCATCGACTTTGGTGCATCCTGAATCATGTTTAGTAGATCAATAATTGTGCTTGACAGGATCTTGCTTTTGTCTGCAATTTTCCTTACAAGCACCTAGATAAAATTTAAAACGACAACAGCGCGTAATTATTTAAAATTAGACTAACTAGATACAACATAACACCATTTCTGTCAGTGGTTATATATTACAAACTTTACCTCCTCTGAATCTTCAATGATCACACTTTCATTCTCTGTATTATCCCTCTCCTGTGTAACACCCCAATCCGCGTGACCCGAATACAAGGACCAGCGGATCGGGTTGCTACTAAATTGGAATTCAAACGCAATAATTTTCAAAACAATTTAAAACATTTAATTCAAAACAATATTTAAATATCCATCAGAGTAAATCAAAACGGTGCGGAAGCCTTTAAGTACTTAATCAAAATACAACTTTGGGTTCTTGCCCTTGAGAACATAATAATTCAAACTTAAATATTAAATTAGATAATTCCTCCAGCTAGCATCCATCCATCTCTTCGCCCTCGCTGCCTCCAAGACCGTCTCATTATACATCGTTCCTATTACCTACGTGTAGAAAATAGGAAAAAGGGCTACACGCTCAGCATTGAAGCTGAGTGGAACTATCAAACGTTCGACTACGCACATAGACGAACCCACTAGCTCATAATTCCATACAATATCATGCACACAAGCACAACATCAATAACATCATTAATATCATGTAATTCATCAATTAAGCATAATTATCATAATTACCAAACTAATCTCATAACCCACTTCTTTATCTCTAGGCTCATAACCTATCCTAGGCTAAGGCCAACTACTTTATTCTAGAGTCCTGATCCAAACACATCCATGGAAGAACTCGCTCGATACGACGTCATCCAACGTCGGCTGGGTGGGACCACCTACTCACATCCATGAGCAGATCTACAACCCCCGTGCGCACGCTCTACCCAACTGATCATGCGTGCACGCCGGCTCATCACATGACCAGTTATTCCTAACTGTATCCTTATTCTGTTTCCTCGGTCTACCTATAACTCGTCTAGGTAACCTATCTCATTACTTACTCTAATTATTCACATCCAAGCTAACAGCAACCTCAATTTACTTTATCCGTTTAAGGCATATCACATTATATCCATAATAAATCAAGAGAGTAGAAATAGCTAAATAAATCATCATGCAATCCAAATAGCGGCCTAATGTCGGGTGTAAACACCTTCCATTTACCGTCATGCAACACATGAAAGCTCAAAGTCAATTCGGGTTCTAAATTGGGTCAAACAGTCAAACAACGGAGATTTGCAGTTGTCGGTACGGTACCCGTCACGGTACCTCGGCACCGCAGGCGGTACCTTGGTACCGTCGGTACGGTACCGTCCGACCGTCGCCCATATGTACCGGCAGCAGCAGTGAACCAGAGGCGGTAGCTAGGTACCGTTTGGACGGTACCAGACTACCGTCCGGCATCGGGAGTGTACAGATACAACAGATTTCTATCCTATTCCAGATCGTTTGATACATATAACGTTTTTAAAGATTATAACCATGCAAATCACATAAATTAGAGTAAAAATACGTACCTCGTCTTTCTCGTACAATCAATTCCAATATCATCATAAAATATAAATAGATCACAATTCAATTATAAACAAATAAACCACGTAATCAATCATACGAAACTACGAACGTGAATTTCAAATCTATATACTAGCGTTAGATGTGCAAGTTTTGACCTCGATTAATTGACGAATTAAAACAAATTGACGAATTGAACCAATGACCAAGCGAACAGTGGCGGGGCTGTTTTCCGGTGACGGCGAAGCAGCGACGTCGGTCAGCTTCCCGGTGACGGCGGAGCAGTAACGCTGGAGTGGCGGCGGCGACAACCTTTTCCCGGCGTTCGGGCAGCAGCTCTGTTCCCTTCTCTTTTCTCTCTTCGGCGTAGGGTCTGTTACGTTCTTTTTGTGTGGCGTGCGTGTATATATATAGGATAGGGAGTCCTTTTCTAATTTGGAATGAGTTTGGGATTTGGGTTGCGGGTAGGTTTAGGAATAATAGTTTATATTACTATTTTATAATTATAAATATTTATATTTATTTATTGAACTGTAACTTCTATTTTACTCACCACATTCTACACGTAAGTCCAAATTTAACAAATTATATACCGTTAGTCACCATTTTACGGGATCTATCCGAAAACACAATTTTCATTTAAAACGGATAACTTAACCAATAATCCATATTTTAAAGTAAATAAATATTATATGTATTTTTATTAAAATTACAACTAACTACTAAGCCGGTTTTCGGGGCGTTACATCCTCTGTAGCCTTCCCTTCTCTCTGAATGAGCTCTCTGTTCACTTCCAGCCGCATCTCACGACTCATACGTCCTTCATCATGGCCTAAACCAAATCCGCCTTCAACAACCTCACTGTTCTCTCTCTTTCGCAGTTCCTTTCCACTCCATGCCAACACAGCTGGATATGTCCTAGGAACTGTTCTTGAGAAATCAGAAACACGATCAACGTAGAACACCTGCATAGTAATATCATTAATAAGCATTATGGAAATTTAAAAATGCAGAATACACACAAGTCTAGAGTATACCATCAGAAAGAGCACTGGACCACCGAAAAGCTGCTTCGTTTTCTTCTCCCACCTTAGCTTGTTCTCAATTAGCTTGTCAAGAACATATTGACACCAATTCAATTTAGGAACTCTCCCCACATCTCTCAAATGGTCCATCACCAGGGCATTCACATTACCATGTGATGTGCTGTCCACAAGTACCGACATAATAAGTGTCACAAAATGTCTCACAAACCACTCCCCCCCATCTGTGCATTGCAGCATCTTTTCCACAACATCATGTGGAGTGATCTTAATGCCCGTAGTATCAAACTTAAGCCTCCACTCATTCACCAACAACTTGTCCTTATTACGCTTGTTATTTTGAATGCGCTCTCCACCAATCGGCCACCCCAAGACGGTATTAACATCCTCAGCAGTTATGTGCATCTTTGTATTGTCTGGTAGTTTCAGACAGCTGCTCCTAGCATCATAGTTTGATACGACCCAGAGTCCCAACCTTGATGGCAACTCCCAAATATCAAGCTTTAAAACTGACCCAAACCCAATCCTTTCAACAGCGGCACGCTGATCATCATTCATCCCCTCTATTGCTTTCATTAAAACATGGGGTGTCGACCTTGTCTTCAAGGACCCATACGGCGCCTTGATATCTACCAATTTCTTCTTTCCATTCCTCCCTTTTTTCCTCACTTGTAATCTCTCCCTCCCTTGCTCAATACGCTGACTTGATCTTTCACGTGAATGTTGGACACTCTTACCAACTGCTCTTGGCGTTGTCCGTTTCACCGATGCAACCCGCTCACTACTATATTCATCTTGCACTCCAGCAATTTCTTCCTCATCTCTATAATCTCCCCCCTTGCAATCTCCTGATTCATCCTCATCTGATCCCTGTGCATCATCACTTTCCGATCCATCACTGACTTCTTCACCATCATCATCTGCCTCCTCCTCACCACTGCCTTCTCCATCCTCCCCATCATCCCCATCCTCCTCATCAGTGCCTTCTGCGTCAACATCACTCTCCATACTTGATGGGGCTGCATTATTTTCACCCCCATCTGCATCATCTGCACCCTGCCTAGCTTGCATATTCTTAGCATTTTTTTGGATCTCTGTCATTTCTTTGTCTGCTTCATCCCTAAGCCCTTCAACTTCAGCAGACCCCCCACTATGGTTAGATTCTTCACCAACAAGATCAATTCTCTCAGGTCCCCCACGCAGCTTGTTTCTCATCCCGAACACAACGCTCTGCAACCTTCCGCTTCTCCTTCGTGGAGTGCTATCTTGTGCCTTCAGTACCTTCTTTTTACATCTCTTGAGGAATAGGTGCGGGACTGCTGTGAAAGTCACAAACACATGAAACACATTAAACAATATTAACAGATCCTTACTCATTCTATAAGAATGTTTAGTAATGTACTGCTGTTTGCCTGTTATGCAAACTTGTGATATTTATTCATGCTATTAGGGACCTATATTTTTTCCCCATGTTTTTCACATATATTCTTCCATCACAGACCATGCTCTTCAAACCTTCTTCACAACCAATTAGTTAATCAAACAATAAAGGTAATGCATACGCATAATAATTTAAAATCAGGAATCCTAAATCATTGCATTACAAACTGCCCAAAAAAACACTCAACAAGCACCAAATCCATCAGCAATCATGCAGATGAATGATGCAATTTAGAACACACACAATGCCTAACTAAACATTAATTTGTGAATGCTTATCCAACCACACATCATGCATATACTTAACCGAGACAATCCTGATTCTAATGAATTGATAGTGCACACAGTTTACATCAAAACCACTACAAACTGCTAAAACCACCTAATGCTTATCCTGAAATTTATGCAAATGTGGGATACTCATCCATGTTATTAAATATAATATTCTTTTCATTATAATTCATGTAAACCATTACTTCATGGAACATGCACTACCATGCTTAAATAGAATAAACTAATGCACAAGCAACCAAAGACAATGCATACAAATTGTATTGTATTGTACAAACAGCAATCCCCTATTATTTCAATGCTAAGCCCCAAAAAACAGTCCACAAGCATGAAACTAACCATCATGCATTATGAATGTTAATTGCATTTTAAGACACATTCATTGCTCATCCAATAATTCAATGTAAATGCTTCTCTTACCCCAAACCATTCATACTATTACCTGATTGAATCCTGATTTAAAGATTTAATATTACAGAGACTCTGCTTCAAAATCACTTCAAAGTGCTTACAAACACAGCAATGCTGCTAAACAAGACTATATACCTTAAAAAACTCAAAATCAAGTAAACAATCTTTAAAAAAAACCCAAACTTTCTTTTTGTAAAATTTTAAAGTCATTTACTTTAAATTCAATTCGAACCCTATCCACCACTTAAGCAAACAAATACCACAATCATGCACAACAACACCCTAAAAGTGCATCATATAAAACACCTATCCACTGATGACGTTTATTACATCAACTACCCCTGCTACACCCAAAACCCAAAAAGAAAACAAAATTATAAAAAACCGACAAATAATCCACAATTTGTTTGCACCCACTCCCCCACATTCCAAAATTGATAAACAAAAATTAAATTTTGTGCATCATATTTCAGAAACGCAGCAAACACATCCGAAACCCTACCGGAACACATGCAATCACTTTTTCAATTCAGAATATTCCAAAATCTTCAATTTCTCAAAAAATTAAATAGAAAACATTACCTGTTTCTTCAGGCGATGTCAATGGTGTCAGACTCTTATCGCCAACTTCTTTCTCTGTCGTAGCACTCCTCTCCGTTGCCATAGCCACCAGAATTCGAATTGGATTGTACAACTCGAAGAGCCCTCTTACAACTGGAGTGTGAAGTTTGCCTCTGCGTTTCCTACTCGAAAGTAGCACCAAAATAGGAATACTCGGCGGGATTCCTTTTTGGGGCGTGCACGTCTGCACTTTTCAATGCCAAAAATACCCCTTTTCTGCTGTTTCAATTTTTTTAAGATACGTAATTTTAAACTTACCATGTGTAGCCCACCATTAATTAATAAATGACTAAACAATCACAGCCATCCATTCCTCCAAATCCAAGGGCTCTCCATCATTCTTATTTCTTTCACTAGGAGCCTTTCTCACATGATCTCACCCCTATATATATATATATATATATATATATATATATATATATATATATATATATATATATATATATATATATATATATATATATAGGTTTTGGTTCCGGTAAGAATGAGATCTAATGAAAGAAATAAGAATGAATAAGAGCCCTTGGATCTTGATCTCGTGCTATGCCTACGGATTCTTTTTCCAAATTTTCAGCAGGGCATTCTTGTATTTTTCTTCTCCCAGCCGCTATTTCCATTTAAGATTCCGTAAGATCAGCCCATTTCTCCTGAACTCTTATCATATTCTGCAATCTATATTCAAGATTTAGTTTTAATTAAGGTATGATTACTCCTCATAATTTTGGTCTCTTTTTGCTCACCGTTTACCAGATCTGAGAAGGAGAAGTGAAAGCCTTGTTCTTCGAATTCTAAATCGTGAAGTATGATCTTTTTTTTGTTATTAGCCATTGTTCACTATAAATTTGCATGCTAGATTCTTTTTATTTTTGCTTGTTCTTTGTGCTCTTTTCTGATCAAATGGTTCCATGATTTTTATCTTGTTTTAGATTTCATACTTAGCATCCTGGTAGATTAAAAGTATGGATCTTGGTAGATGTTTTCTTTGTCTGCCATCTCCCCATTAAAAAAAATTTCTCTCCTTACTCTTTTGGTAGATTCTAATCATTGGATGTTTCAAGTCATTGTCTCTTCTAATTTGATTGACCATATTCCACATTTGATATCACATACGAAGTATTTCTTTTATCTATTCTGTGACTTTCTACCCCTATTATAAATTTTTTATTTGTTGGTCAGCTTTTTAATATCAGACAACGATATGCATATTTAAGTGCATTGTAATGCATTATTTGTTTCTGTTACAGCATATATCCAACAATTCACGTATTAGGATAGTGAACAGAAGTTTGTGTTCACTTTAGGCACATTTTTGTGACCACACTTCACTTTTAAAAATATCATTTACTCTTTTGGGTTTTGAGAATTAGATATCTCAATTCACTGAGTTTGTGTAAGTTGAATTGTTGATTCAATTTCCTACTTTGAGCCTATATTATGCATCTTTAGTGCATTATATAAAATATTCAGTGCATTATAAAGAGTTTGTAGTGCATTATAAAGATTACTTTAAATGCAGAATGATGCAAAATAAAAAATACTTATATGCATTTCTGATAAATTTTAGTGCAATTTGAGTTTCCTTTAATTTGTTTGTGCACTATATTGGTAAAAATGGATCTCAACCCAATGTGTGGTGAAATAAAATATAGTTGCATGTCTGTAGTGTGGATTGATGTAGTTCCAAATTTTTTTTGCACCTTTGAGTTCGTAGATTGTTTGTTGTGTTGTTTGTGTGAAGTGCATTTTCAGGATCAAGATGAAGGATAATGCATTCTATTTTTGTGCATTCTCAAAATTAAAGTGAAATTAAATAATTGTATAGTGAAAAAAATGAGTCTTTATGAAAATATAAATTGTTGCCTATTAGCTCAAATGGTAGAGCACACGGTATGGATTACGGATGTGGGTTTGAATCCCGCATAGGCATACACTTCCTCACATCTATTTCACTTTTTATGAAAAGAATGCATTCTCATGATTTCTCATCATTCAAAATTCATCAAGAATCATTCTTCACTAATCCATAAATTAATAGAACAAATTTTAAATAAAATTTACTGGACATATTGCAGTGTATATATCGGCCATGACAGCGCACTCACATTATATTGGTATTTTCGAGTATCACAATGCATCGTTTAATCTACGGAGTAATTGAAAATGCATTTGGAATAGACTTATGTTTGCCGCAGCTTATGTTTGCTGCAACTTCTAGCTACCTTGTAAAACTTATTAATATGCCATGATTGCATTGTTTCCATGTTGTCTTGCATCTATTAGTCAAAATAGTGCATATGATAAAACATCCATGAATCCCATTATCATCCTACTTGTCTTACATAACTAGTACCATTGTCCACTGCCTTGCAACAACAAGATGAAGTGGAATCGCAATGAAAAAAAATCAAATGTGACATATTGTTTAACCAACAGTAATTGGGTGGGTATCCTTTTAAATCTACAAGTTTTTTCCTATTATCTACTCTGGTATGAGTTTGAACAATATTCGGTGGAGCTCCAAAAAATTATCATCACCATTTTCTTCTCGTTCATGTGGACATTGTATCATTCATCATTATCCTTCTCATTGTCATATATATCTTCTGAAGCTGCATCCTCGTTGCTTTCAGTTGCATCTATCATCACCATTAATAGCAATTTCATCCTCTTCAAGCTTCTGATTTCTTAATTTTCCCTGCATCCTCGTGGTTCCTAATACAAAATTTCTTGTGGTGGCCATAGAAAAAATTGTTCTTTCTAGCGCTAAAAAAGATTGAATTTAATTGTAATTGAAAGTTGTTTGGACTCTATACATGATAAACATGGAAAAGGAGCATAAAATGAGGGATAATGAATACGGTTCTAATTATGCACTATCTCTTTTGGTTTTCATGATTACACTTTTACCCTTGGAAGTACAACACGTGGGGATTAATTCCTACATTTATGCTCTGTAGTTATTGCCTACCATTTTAAAGTTGGTTGAGTCAACAACGATTGATTTAATCAGAGCCGTTCATAGTGTGTAATCTAACGCATAGTGATTATTCTTATTTCTTTCGCAAAGGACCTTTCTCACAGGAACTCACCCCTATATATATATATATATATATATATATATATATATATATATATATATATATATATATATATATATATATATATATATATATTGGTTCTGGTGAGAATGCGATCTTAGGAGAGAAATGAGAATGAATCTGGTGTTTTAGATTGAAAGATCTAAGGGTGAGGATTGCATCAATATATATATATATATATATATATATATATATATATATATATATATACACTAGTATTCATACCCGTGCGATGCACGGGTTCGGACGAATATCTTGTCGATTCTGAATTTATTCAATGCAATATTTTTTTTCCGGAATAAAGGAAATATACCTCATGCATGATTTATAATAACACAGAAAAGAAAGACAAAGTAAAAAGAATAATATTTGAGGAATTGAATCTACACACAACAAAGTTTGCTTTAATACCAAATTTTTTGAAATTTTTCAGGGTATACAACATTTTTGGTATGGCTGCAAGGATTCCCATTGTCATCTAAAACTAATATTTTTAATCATGTCTTTGTCTTCACTCGCAAAACAGCAACATAAAGCTGACCATGAGTGAACACTGACTTGGTTAAAAATAATCCAACAAATGACAATGTTTGACCTTGACTTTTGTTAATAGTCATAGCAAAACATAAGACTATTGGAAATTGTCTTCTCTGGAACTTTAGAGGTAGTCCTGGATCAGACGGTACCAAATTAATCCAGGGTATGTAAAATTTTTCGCCCACTCGATTTCCCGAAACCACAATAGCACCAATAACATTCTTTCGCATCTCATCAACAATTAATCTTGTACCATTACACAATCCAGATGTTTGGTCAATGTTCCTCAGTAACATAATTGGTACCCCTTTTTTTAAAACTATCCTGTGGTTTGGGATTCCCGAACATTTGATTTCATTCAAAAACTCAAATGTTATCTAGTCGCCATCAACACCTACATCTGAATCTGCTTGGGATGATGAATCAGAACTCAAGTACACCATTTCATCTCCGGGAATGAGGGATAACACAAATTCATTTACCATTTCTACAACTTCGAGCGTGGGTGCTAGTAGTTGTTGAAACACGGGCTTGTCACGTTTTCGTACTAAAGCCGTGTTCGTTTTTGTAACAGGTTTTGATAATGCCAAACCGCCGTGATCAAGACAAACATTGAATATACATGGCGAAGAACGAAGATAAAGAACAAGAGCTAAAAGAGACTAGGAACGAAGACCGCAGTCTTTAGTATTGTTGAGCCGGTCATAATTGTAATCAAGACCGACCCAACCCTCACGCATTGGCTCTTTAGGCTAAAATCTTTTATCACATCATAAAAATGCTTTTCAAACATGTTTAAGTCATTCAAAACACTTGGTGTTCGCCCAAACCAAAAACCAAGCCATCCAGCGTTCGGGTTTGAGAAACCAGCGTTCGGCTCTCAGTTATCGGCTTCGGTTTTTGGCGTCCGAACCAACCGATTGGTTTTCAAACTTTTATGATTGGTTTTCACTCTTTGGAATGTTTAAACGGTTCTCCAACAAAAACACTTTGAAAACCATCTTTCGCTTTTGGTCGTTTGACAAAAATCATTCAAAACGGCATAAACTTGGCTAGCCGTGGTTTTTACTCAAATGACATGGTTTTTAAAGTAACTCACTTGATTTCTTAGCCAAATACATCAAATAAGTGTTTTAAACACTTGGTTTTATTTTGGAGAACTTTGGATTTTTCGGTCGGTTTTTGCATCGGTTGGCTAGGCCGTGGTTAAGGCAAAGACCATAGGTTTTTGGCTAACCACCCACCCAGCGATGGGAAGATCTTCCCATCAATGGGTAAGCGGTCCCTTAGCCAAACCAACTTCCAGAACCATGCCAAACAGCGATGGGAAGCTCTACCCATCGCTGTTAAAGCCTTGGTGCAAAATTAACACAAGGCAGAACAACCTTGCCCAGCGATGGGAAACCTATCCCATCGATGGGAACCCAGCGATGGTAAGGGTAAACAATCGATGGGAAGGCATGATCGTTGGAAGTCATTTAAGGTTGATTCTTTCCTTGTTTGGAAGTCAACCTCCCACCCAGCGATGGGAAGCTTGTACCCATCGATGGGTAGGCAACCGTTGGCTTCAAAACTGAAGGAAA